CTTACTGAGTAAGTCTCTTTTCACAAATTCTGGTCTACACCTCAAAACTCACCCAGGAGATGCACAACTGCCATGCTAGGCTGCTTGTACCCCATCCACTCCTCTGCCTGACCCATCTGCTCTGCTTGGTAATCCAGACTCTGGCTTCAAAACTCAGTTCAAGCATCTTTGAAGGCCTCTTCTTGTGCAAAAGCAACTGTATCGTTCACTCCCTCCTTTATTACACCACTTATCACACCATCTGTGATTATTTGTTTACATTCTGCTTTTCCTACAAAACTGGCATCTGCTTTGTATCCTTATTTGCAGCCTCTGCACATAGAGAGTACTCAATTAAATGCTTGGGAGTAAAGAATGAATACTCCCTTATAATTATTTAATGGATTTAGAACATGGGGGTTTGTCATGTATTTAGTGGATAGACATGCTTTGATTATCATGTTTGGAACCCTGTACTCATATGCAAGAATATTCAAGAGCAAAAGTTGACACTGACTCTTCCCTACAAATGTTTACATCCAGCAAAAGAAAAGGAAAATTCATGTAACTAGATGTCATGAACAAATGCATGCAGAGCCGGTAGAATTTTTCAGTGTAAAGGTTTTCACTATTATAGCAGAGTCCATCAACGTAGAATACTTTTTGGAGATGAGTTTGAGTCTGATTTTTAAAGCAATAATAGAAAAAGAAAGACTTTTCCAAATCTGAGATGTAGCCCATGCAAATTATAGAAGCATTAAGAATCATTCTCTGCAAGAAGCATTATAAAACTAAAAAACAAACTAACAGAAAAGAGTTGTTGGGTCCAAATATGAAGTGACAATGGTGAGACAGGGAAACAGTGTGCCGGAGAGCCTTGCAGGCACAGCAAAGAAACACAAATTTGATGTGATAGGCAATAGGGAGCCTCTCTAAGTTCTAGTACAGGGCAGGTTTTGGAAAACACTGCTGCTTGCTTATGGCAAGTTGTAGAATTCTGTGTTTTCTAAAGAATGAAAGTAGTCAGAATATGCACTGTATAATTACAGATAGGCAATTTATAGCAAGAGTTAGTTTCTGGTATAAACCAATTAGAATGCTAAAATTAACCAAAGACAGAAACTGCAGTTTGCATTAGCTCCCTATGAAATACATTTCATTATTAACACTCTGTTGTTAAACACTATTTGTATATCTACCTCTAAGCTAATGTAAAAGTCGAATATTGATTGCTACAACAGGACTGCAATATTCAAGACACATTATTCATGTGAAATTGCAATAGACATATAAGAAGGTCAAAACCACAAGCACCTTTTCCTGCCTCAAAACATATTTAGTTAATTGTGATATGTCTAAAATCTATACAAGGGACATTAGGAAGATAGAAAATGAGGAATAAAAAATTCTTATGGTTATATATCCCAAAGCTGTAATCAGTAAACAATCGTGCATTTCCTACAATTTTTACATTACCCATGAGGAATTTATACTTTATCTATGTTATTGAGTCCTACAAATACATAACCATTACAGAATAGTATTTTTCTTTTTAATTAATATTTCCTAAATCTCTAAAAATTTCAAGGATCATCTCCCTTTGATTCAAGGATCATCGCCCTTTGACAAAATGACTAAGGTCAGCAGCTGTAGCATTTGAGGTTCCTAGAACTCTTCACCTTTACAAACTGAATAATCTATTTACTAAGCTCTTAATCCACTCTTTATCTCTTCAGTGGCTTGTGATTGTCACAAATTGTTAACAGTATTCCATTTAATTTCCGGAGATTTCCTCACCATATGACTCTTTTAAGAGGATCATAAAGAAATAGTTACCCTTGTGATAGGTTATGAAATAGCAATCTGGCTTAGATCACTGACTACTTGAAATACAACACTAACAATGACACTGAATTAAGAGGATGATTTTTTCAAAACCAAAATACAAGAACGGGAAAAATTCACCTCAGTTTTCCAGAGATTACAGGAAAAGAAATTTTCTGATCTGATTTATCTAAATTGTCAAAGATTTTCAACTCACCTGGCAACATAGTACATACGTAAAGTTTGGTATAGTGTCAGAGAGCTCTACTTTTGTATCCTAAAGCCATTGATCTTATAATCGGCTCATGACAACAACTCCCCTCCGACTTCTTAACACCATGTGTTTCATAAATTAGTTCCCTCCTGTATTAGCCACTACATTCAACTTTAGTAATGATAGTAACATGAGGGATAAATTTTTGTTTCTGCATTTCGTTCACAATATTTTTCTAATTTATCTGGCTTCAGCGTTTCTTGTTTTCAGTTGAACTAATAAGAGTCTGGGGAAAAAAATGTATTGTTGAAAATGGAAGCAGTTTCTTATAGAAGGCAGCAGCTTTCCTAGGGAATGATTCATTTAAAACAGTGGCAGATTCCAGATTTCACACATTACTTCCCCAAATTTGCTGAATTTAGCATTAGCTAGTTTGGGACTAAAACACTCAGAACTCAAAGACATGTGGGTGAACTCACATCTTCCTCTGCAGTCTTATTCCAAAAGCTACAGAGTTACTTTTTCTGATTTATTTGTTGTATTTTTATTTGTAAACCCTTTGTGGTCGAATTTATAAAAATCAGGTAGGGATTTTCCAGTTTTGAAACCATTCAAGTTTCTTTGTGATTATGGTTAGAATCGTGTATGAGTAGGTGATGAAATGATGTATTTGTATTAATTTCTAGATTATGACTGTTTCTTTCCTGTTTAACAGTATTAGTAATAGGCATTAAATACCCATGACATATGATATTATATGGGGGTATCAAATAATCAAGAAAATATTCTTCATCTAAATGAGCTTGTGGTTCATTTATTACCAAAGTCATTTATTTATAAGAAAGATCTTGCCAACTCACAACGCTGGCCTGAATGTGCTTGATTACCAAATGTCTGTAAGTGCATATTAAATTGCATTTTACATAATGATGTCAGTGAGCCAAAGCGCCTGAATAATATCATGGCATCTTTCAAACACCATCATGTTACACAGATCTAGGTGCCTATGACCACTTCCAGGAACCAGAGGACACTGGTGTTAAGCAGTGACCTCTTCTATGACCACATGGCCTGCCATTTTATCTGATATGGTGCCATCTGTTCATCCTGCTGCCACTCTCTAGGGTAACTGGGTTAAAACTACAAGACATTAAAAATAGTCACATTACCTGCTGTATTTTTAATAGACCGGGTATTTATATCAGTGACTTTTCTCTCACAGGATATTTATTTAAATATTTTTGGTAGCCTTGTTTTAAGAGGTAACTCTTCAAATCTGTTATGCTGCATGAACTACAGCCTTAATTATGAAAAGTTCCCTACAATTTCTTATGCAATCTGTAAAATGGTGAAAAATTAAGATATTTACAATGAAAAGAACACATGTTACAGTAAGAACTTATATCACTTTGTGGTTAAAAGCATTAACTCTGGAGTCAGATTCCCAAGGTTAGACTCTCAGCTCCACCTCTTACTACCTCTGTGAGTCTGGACAAGTTACCCTACTGAATTTAATTGTTCTCATCTGTAAAAGGATAATAATAATCTACACACTGGGTTGTTAAGAAAATTCAGTGAGTTATTCCATATTAAGAATCAATTACATAACCTGACATATACCAAGCCCTCAATAAATATTAGCTATCATCGAGAATCATCTTGGTTTGATATTAATCTCAAATTAGCATTAAAAAAGTTTTGAGAACTGAATATTTATTCCATTTTAGAAATATGCTATATGAGAAAAATTACAAGATGAATCAATTTCTCGAACGTACTCCATTTTATTTTAAATATATTCCATATCCATATTTTAAGAATGATCCATTTTTATGCCTTTTCATCAGTGTATTATGCAGTGTTTCATTATTACATGTCATTTCCTGAAATCCTGTGAACCAAAATGCCATTGGCAAGCACACACAAAAACACTGACACAGCCTCACAGAAAGCAAACAGAACTTCCATTTTATGACTTATTTAAAAGCATAATTCATCTTTAAAATGCTAAAAAGCATTTCTGTAGGGAGTAAAGTAACAATCCATAGCCATTATACTGCTTTCATTAGTGCTATTTCAGGCACTCTAGAGGACTTCTTGATTCTTATTTTTACGCAGACAATAAAATCCAGGTTATAATTAATACCAAAAGGTAGACTTAGAAGGAAAAGAATGTCAAAAAGGTTAATAGGGAGACTTTAGATTTGGAGACATAAACCCCTTTGCTTAATGATGGTATACTGAACTGAGATCTTTGGAAATTCCAGTTGGCTTAGCTTTTTCAAGTCCCACCCACTGCCTAAGAACAATAGATGCCCTATCCAGCAAAATACGAACCTGATTGACCAGATTCACTCCATTTATTCACTTAATTATTTGTGTTTTCTATGTCATAATTTTCCTCTTGGGTGTGCTGTTTTTAAGCATTATAAAATGAACTAATAGGCAAAAACTATAATAAATAACTATAGGCAAGGCGTAACAATGAGCAAAATTATTATGCTAAAATAAAAGTCCTTATATATAACTTGGAAAAACTTAAAGAAACAATCTGTTTTATTCCAACATAAATTCACTGAAATTTCAATATTAGAGGAAATGTATATCACACTATCTCATACAGCTAATGATACACTAGATTAGCAATCAGATCCTACACATCTTTATCAAAGATGGTACTTCATGTATTCACATTAGATAAAAGGAAGCCAAAGTGGGAGAGAGGCTGCATTGATTAGGATAAAAATTAGGTAATTAAAATGGATTTGCTTAAAAAAATATTAAATTGGTATAAGACAATTGTTTTATAATCACTAATTTTTTCAATTGACTCAAATCCAGTATTTGGTCATATTTTTTGAAGATACAAATGTAACACTTATGTACAAAAACAAGGAGTCAAAGAAATTTTTCTACTTGAATTTCACAAAACTCAGTACGCATAGCACAGCTGTTCATTTTAAAACAATCATAATTAACAATCTCATGATATAGGACTATAAAAAAAGAAAAAGGTGTGTCTTACCTCTTCCCACTGATGTATGTATCTAATTAATCTTGAAAGTCGTAATAAACGCAAGAGACTGAGAATTTTTGTAAACCTCACAATACGAAGCGCCCTGGCTGTCTTGTAAACTTCTGAATCCATTCCTTTTTCTACAATAAGAAAGATATAATCCACTGGGATTGATGAGATGAAGTCAACCACAAACCAGCTTTTTAAATAATTCATCTTGATCACTTTAGGGTCCAGAATGATTTCAGAACTGTCTTCATTGACAGTCCCAGTCCTAAAATTCATGATCAGGTCCAATAGGAAAACTGTATCTGATGCCACATTGAAAATAATCCATGGTGTTGTTGTTTGCTCTGTAAAGAATGTGATGCCAACTGGTATGATGACCAGATTTCCAACCATCATTATAAGCATTATTAAATCCCAATAAAACCTACAACAAATAAAAAAATCAGATATTAAGATGTAGAAAATAACCAGCCCATTCTTCCCCCCATAAAAATGTATTACTGATTTACAGTTACATATATGAGTAAAGGAACACAGAAATGGTTCTGTAAAAATGTAATTCTTTCAATGGCTATCAGTTTAAATCTAAGTAAAACATATTCCTAAACCAAGGCATTATAATTGTATAATTATAAAAATTATTTGATGTAAAATATTACACAAATAAAATTCAAAAGTACTCATACCCCCATTTGTATAATTCTAAAAATTATTTGATATAAAGTATTACATAAATAAAATTCAAAAATGCCCATACCCCTATTTATCTAGTAGAGGAGCAAAAAGCAAACTGCCTTATAGTTAATACAAAATATAGATGGAAACAAGAAAGACGTATAAGACTAGAAGATCTACCTTAAAAAACTGCATTTTGTAAGACTCTTAGGAGTTGTTTTGAAATACTTTATATGGCAATTTACCCACCATAGATTAGCATAAACAATAACAAATAGGTTACTCTAAAAACTTTGGTAATGAAAATTTACCTCTAGGCATATAGATTAGGTCAACCACAGATTCTAGAATAGCATGTAGCTTTGCAGTACTTCAAATGTTTATGCTTTATTCTTTTGACTGAAATAAGAAAATTAATTTTGGTCTGATGCTCAAAATAATTGAACAGACTCTACTCCAAATTTGAAACTAAAATCTACCTAAAATTTGCACTTTTATCACTACTTCATTGAACAACTACTTTAAATATAGTGCCACTATTTTTCCAAACAATTGTTCTTTAAGAAATATTTTTATCTAATTTTGAACATGACTATGATTACTAACTATGTTTTGAAACATTCTTATCTCAACTTACATTAAAATTAGGATAAAACCAATTTAGTTTAATTAAATTCACACAGATGACTATAATGGTATTTTCATGAGGGTTCTTTCAACTTTGACACTACAGTTAACAAAGTAAGTAATATACTATTTATAGTTGGTACAGTATATAGATATAAAAAATTTTTTTTAAAATCAACTAACACAACTACATAAACATGAAAAAGTCTTTGGAAACATAAGTTACTTTATCCTGGTCACAGCTTTCCTCTTCTGGCAGTTTGTTGTAAAAGTAACATAAACTTCTATGATAAAAATTTCTGTTAACCACGTTCACCAAGGTATTTTTGTTTTGCATTAATTCTCTTACTCAGATTATTTGAGGTACATTTTGGTAAGGTATAAATTTGAATAAATCTTTCAAAGTTACTATCATCCCTAATTATAAATGATCCCAGAATAAGCATAGTAGTACAAGAAGGAACTATAATAGGCCCTCTCTCCCCATATCTTTGGCCCCTGGATTATGTAAAAGATAAATGTTTGTTATTTTGAAGATTTCACCAGTATGTCTGTCAAAACTTACCTGTACATTTATTTTTAAAAAGTATGCAAATATCCATGTTAGTCATATATCATGCACTGGTAATTTGTTTTTTTTGTTTGTTTGTTTTTTTCCTTTTTGTCTTTTTCCGTGTCCGGCAACGGATCGCAACCCTCAGTGTCACGCCCGCACCGGACCGGGACCGGCAACTGGATCGCAACCCTCGGTGCTGCGCCCGCATCTCACCCAGCCAGCGAGCGGGAACCAGTCTGTATGTGGGATCCGAACCCTCGTCGGGAGCGCCGCCGCGCTCTCAAGCGGCGCACTGTAGCAGTGCGCCACCGGGCCAGCCCCATGCACTGGTAATTTAAATGAAACTGTCTCTTTTTCTTCTCTCTTAATGGAAATGCAAATTGTGTCATTTAATACACCAAGGACAGAGGAGAGATATAGAGGAGATGCAATATTGCAATAAATATTTCACAAAGAAGTGACATCACTGAACTCTAAAATGAAATCATGTGTACCTTGAGGATTTTTCACATCTGAACACTCTTAGCCTCTTCTGTGAGCTTCTCTCTCTGCCCTCCCCTTGATGGTTGCTGTTCCCCTGGGTGTCATGCATAGCACTTTCATCTTCTATTCTGCACGTGCTTTGGGGGCAATAGTATATATTCATTCATGTCTTTAATGATTAATTTGTAACTAATGACTCAAAAAGCTTTATCTTCAGTCCATTCCTGTCTTTTAAGCCTCCAGATCCTCATAATCAGCAACCTTTTAAATCTATCCCCTGGTATATCTCACACTCATCTCAAACAGCATGCCTAAACTCAAACTCATAATCTTCCCTCTCACAAACATTCCTTACACATTCCCTATCTCAGGAAATCAAACAATTCTATACATGATTTGCAAGCCAGAAACCCTGGAGCCATTCTAGATAACTCTTGGCCCTAAATCTAGCCAATGCCATATCCAATCAATCACAAAGATCTTTGGTTCTAACACCTAAATATTTGTTGTATTCATTCATTTGCCCTTTACATTCCCAATGCAGCTGTCCTCACTCAGAAATTCTCACCATCTGTTTAATTTGCAGGCAAGTTACTTAAATTCTCTAATCCCAAATTTTCTCATCTGTAAAATGAAGGTTAATATAAAACCAAATGAATAGGGTTTTACGGATTAAATGAAATGATATATGCACATCACAAGAACTGGCATATAATAAACTGTGGCATACAATGCTCTCAGTCTAGTCAGTATACATTTGCCCTTCCTCATTTCCTAAAAAAATCCAATTTTGTGGGAGCAGAGAGGATCCCATTGAAAAGTACTTTTACAGATACCCTTGTATTTCTGTCATTAAAATAGAACCTTAGGGCAGTGAAGGAAAGATAACATTCCATCCCTCTTAGTCAATAGAGATTAAAAAGAATAAAGTGCCATCCATTCTTCATAATAGCAATAATGTTTATGATACCACAGCTTTTTATTTGCAGTACTTAATATGGTCTGAAGCCATTAAATATTTATGGAATATCCATATGAAGCTCCATTAAACCTTATCATTTCTTTTTAAAGTATCATTGACTCTATTTTACAGATATAAACACAGATCTTTTTTTTTTTTTTTTTTTGTCTTTTTCCGTGTCCGGCAACGGATCGCAACCCTCAGTGTCGCCCCTGTACCGGACCGGGACCGGCAACGGGATCGCAACCCTCGGCGTTGCCCCCATGCCTCGCTCAGCCAGTGAGCGGGAACCGGTCTGTATGTGGGATCCGAACCCTCGGGCGGGAGCGCCGCTGCGCTTCCCAAGCGGCGCACTAGCGCAGTGCGCCACCGGGCCGGCCCATAAACACAGATCTTGTTATAGACTTTGCATAACATACCAGTGTCTTTGTTCAACATGGTTTCATTCTTATGCAGCCAAAGAAAATACAGTTACCATCCATTCTAGAAGTGTGATATACCTTCTGTTTTTTAAGCAATCGATGTGTTGCTGAAAATTGACTTTATGAGAATCTCTTACTCAATGGCCCATGAGTTTCTCTTCCTGACTCTGAAGATTTATCTTGGATACCCAGACCCCCCTTTTCCTTAACTCTCAATTTCTTTGCCTTACACATTTTGTTAGCATGTTGTCTTTCCTATCCACCACCTCTTTCCATTCTCAGTGTTATCTCTGTGTTTTGGGGAGAGCTACCTCCTTGCTTAGAATTTTTCCTAAGTCTCCCGTCTATTCTTTCTGATCAGTTCTACCCAAAAGTCCCAAAACAAAACACCTAACATGTAACTTGCTGGGTCTAGAATTTTTCATCAATGACTTTCTCAATTAAGTAAAAACAGATTAGTATGGTTAGCAGAGCACTCCATGATACGGTCTCCTCTTCCCTTCCCAGCCTCCTCTTTTAACAATTTAGGACAAGGCTCCCATATCTCAGACAAGAGGGTACTTGCACATGCTTTGTCATCATGCATAATTCGGACATGCACAGGAGATACTGTTCTTCCATTCTACCTATCCAACTACCTATTAGCATTCTACCTACCCTTCAAATTCCATTCTGGTATTGAATTTCTTAGTTTTTTGTGGTTTTTTTTCCTTTGTTTTTGTTTTAATATATTTTACTTTCTAGAGCACTTTGAGGTTCACAGAACAACTGAGCAGAGAGTACGGAGATTCCCCATATACCCCCTTCCCCAACACATGCATAGCCTCCCCTATTATCAACATCCCCCACCAGAGTGGCACATTTGTTAAAAATGATAAATCTACCCTGACACATCCCAGTTTACATAATTTACATTAGAGTTCACTGTTAGTGTTGTACGGTCTATAGGTTAAGGCAAATTTATAGCGACATGTATACACATGAGTAGTTTTACTGCCCTAAAAGTTTCCTATGCTCCATTTATTCATCTCTCCCTCCCCCCATTTCTTAGTTTTTACAACCCCCAGAGCAACATGTATTTTCAGTTTGCTTTCTATTTTAATTTTGCTTTTATTATGAATTATTTATCTTTGTTTACTCCATCATTATCGGATTTAAGTTATTTGAAGTTCTGAACTGTACCTTGTCTTCTACTTATCTTCTACTACAGTGTAGACAGTGTCTCAAATAGCAAATGCTACCAATATACATATTAATTGAATTTTTCATGGAAACATATACTTTAGTGGAGCTATTTTTTAAAAAAACCTTTCATAATAAGATAAAGAGTCATTAGTGCAGTAAAAAATTTCTTAATTTACCTTTTTTATAAATCTGGAAATTTTACTCATTGAGGGCTTTTTAAAAATAACAGAATACATTAAAATAAATAAAGTAGGAAACAAAGAGGTTAGGAATATTTTCTTTGGTTAGAAAGCCAGCAAAGAAAATAATTTTAGATTTGACACCCAATTTGGCATCTTATAAAATCCATTCACTTCTATTCATACTGCTCAGAGAGACAGATTTTTAAAAGATCCTGGTTTGATGCTGAAGGCAGACTAGAGCTTAAATCCTAACACCACTAGCTATGTGATTTAACTGCCATGAACTTCAATTTTCTTCTACTGCCCTCAGAGTTGCTCAGTAGGAGGACTGCA